TGCATAAGGGATCCAGAGTTGCGCAAGGAGATGGAGAGGCCAGAGGGCTGAATATAAATTCAATAAGTACTGCTAAAGATCAATCAAAAGCCCAAAGCTGCAATCAACATCAGTTGTGTGAGAAATGACGGTCTGACGAACAGCACGTTTTACCGACAAAAAAAAGAAAATTGATGGGAAACGCAGTTTTTTTTAACATTTGAGAATGATTTCAAACGTCAGAGGCTAAAACCCACTTCTTAGTTGCTCTCTGTAAGCGGCGCCAAACACCTGCTAATCAGACTGTCAACAGTTGCCAGAAGGTTTTAACTGCGATCGGTTTGATTGTAACTCTTTCCTTCTTAAGAGTTACAATCAAACCGATCGCAGTTACAACTCTCTGGCATGTGGCACTACCAATTCACCATTTAAAAAATGAACGGGGCTGGCTGCTCCACAACGGGAGTCCACCTCCAACCTTCAGCACTAGAGCAGCTCCGCTTCCCTCTGACAACCAGCCATTCAAAGATAAGCAACAAAAAAGCTCCTCAGATAATCTGTTTTAGAAACTGTTCAGCAGAACCAATAGTTATCAGCTCAAAGAAACACATCGCTTCAGAACCGTTTCCATCTAACATACACCCTCGAATGGGTAGAAGCCGCTCCAGCAAACCTGATATCGAGGAAAAAAGTGATAATTTTCACCATTTTCTTAGTAAGAACCGGACCTCTAAGGTAAATTCATTCTCCGAAATACTCTATTGACTTTTACATGCACATAAACACGCAGATATATATAAATATACAAGTGCACACACTTCACATGCAGGCAGACTTATCTACACACACACACACATGCATAAAAATAGTACAATTTTCGCAAATAGTACAATTTCCGCTTGCAAAAATGCAAAAAAGTACCAGGAAATTCCCTGTAATCGTTACTTCTACGACAAATAAGCTAAAGGCAATGATGGGACTTACCCAAAAACTGGAAACATCTTGTCTCGCGGGGCAGTTTCTGTCGAGTGTCATAGATGTTGTAGGCGGTATCGACGAGACAGGACAGCGCATAGCCAGGCTGCGTCTTCTGCAGGCATTGCGCCATCACCGGTCTGGTGGCTATCTCGTCACGGCAGAACTCTTGCGCTGCGAATCGGAATCGCTCATCTTGTGTCAAATTCACCTGAAATTCCATTCACTGAAAACTCTGACTGCGCAGCCACAACTACAGAATACTGCAGTGGACTGTGATTACCAGAACCACTATTGCTGCTTCAGTCATAGCAAACTGTTTGTGAATTAAAGTCGCATACTGCCTTTGCTTCATTCGTGCTGAAGCCAGTCCCTCCACGATTCGTTCATTCGCTTCGAGGCTCAGTTAACAGTGGCATATGATAGGGAGCTAAGGGCACCACCCGCATCCTCTGCGCAATCCTCGGCAGAGGAAGCCGTTGACAGCTTAGCAAAGTATGGCAACTGCTAATACATGCTATCATTCGGATAACTACTTGTACTTCATGGACAATGAGAACTGAGGGCACTTTAACTTGACATATTCCTGCACAGTGAGTGCAGGAAAGAGGTAAGGATGAGCCGTAATCTCCAGGACCCTGTGACTCAGCGACAAAACAGTAACTGATCAAAACAAGTAAGTACAAAAACCAAAGCATCTATGAACTAAAATCATCTGGAACAGACGGCATGCATAAGACTCACGGACAACTGTCTTCCGCTCTCCTTCCTCACTCGCATTACTGCAACATCTCTAAGTGCATTTTTGAATTATGGCTTTTTTTTTTATCTGAAAAAATAAAAGGAAATAATTGAAATCACAGGGGGGCGGCTCACCTTGAACTCCCAGACGAGATGCTCACAAGGCGCAGTGAGAAGTTCGGTCTCACTCAGTTTCACGTATTGAAGACAATCCAGGATCGCCATATCACTCTTGAGATCGAGTCCTGGTCGTGAACAGTACTTATGCACATCTTCCTTGCACTCTTCATAGTCTGTTAAATGCTTCTCAAAAGTAGGCGCCTGCTGCGGCTGTTGTGCTTGCTGTCCGCCAGCAGCAAAATTTGGCCTGTAAATTCAAAACCAATTAGAAAAAAAATTAAACTGCGCAGATGAGGATATCGTCGCTGTTTCGAATTAAGACAGTGCGAAGAAAGAAGAAGACGCTGGAGATGAAGCATGAAAAATGTGAGATCAGATTCCATAATCGGCTCCGAGTTTAAAATTCACAGTGCAAATTATATAAGGTATCATATTGGGCTCTTCAGATGGCAACTTTCGAAAGAAGTGCGATGCCCAACACAGACACACCACGGACCTCTCGAAGAAGCTGAAAGCTTGCAGCGTGCCTTCTCTCGCTCTGGAAAACCGTCCAACTAGCAAGTTTTGCAGATGACGAAACAAATATGATCGCCAACAGGCTGACCACTAGGCGAACATGTAGCAGATCTCAAAACAACTGGAGAGACTGCCGGCTGCACAGTTCGAGAATCAAACTGAGCTAAAGCTTTTCCGAACATTTCAAGTACAATTAAAAAATGCCTTAACTCAATAAGTGGCCAGCGCACCGATCGCCGGTGCGAAGATGCGTTTTTTGCATAGTTCCCCACAGATTTTTGTCGCTAACGACATGCTTTTTCGGCAGATGCTTCTAGCTAAAAGAATTCAGACTGGTCCTGCTAGGAAACATCCCTTTATCTAGCTTTCCTAATTCCCGAGTTAGTAATTTGCCCGCAGAAAACTTTCATGGCTCGTACATAGGAATTACGCATACTCGAAGAATAGGTTTGAACTCATTTGCACTTACATGGACCGGGAGCATCCCCTTAAAAATACAGCTTTCTAGCTTTTCAGGTTCCCGAATCAGCAACTTACCCGCAAAAAACTTTCACGGGCTCGTACGTGGAAACCACGCATACCCGAAAGCTGCGTTTGAACTCATTAAGACCTACACGGATTGGGAACATTCCCTTAAAATTTCAGTCTTCTAGCTTATCTGGTTCCCAAGTTAGCAGCTTGCCTGCCAAAGATTTTGGCGGGCCCGTACATGGATATCACGCGGGTAAGAGCGCCCATTTTGGGAGAAGGGGCCCGTATGCGCATGTAGGCTAAGTTCCCAAATTTTCAACCCTATAGCTTTTACAGGTCTTGAGATGAAAAATCGGTACAAACGCACACGCAGACACACACAACCTGTCTTCAATACGCGTTTCCTGCATTGTACAGATGCAAAAACGCATAAAAATGCTTAGTCACATGGCGCACTCTGTTTCGGTTGTTCCTTAACACGCCCCAGTTCCCTGAGCCTCATTTGAGTGAAAATGGCAATTTAAGCGTTTTAACGTCAAATTTAGCATTGCAATCATTTGTCTTTCAACGCAATTCCCGTTGCCAGCTACTCCGAAAAATTAAATTTTACATATTTTCAACCACACTTCATTCTTTTCTACATAATCCCTTTTTGCATTATAGGACTCAACTTTTTACATTTTCTTTGCAATATCGAAAATTTTGGCGGTTTTTGATGCGGTTTTATCACTTTCCAGTTTTCCACTTTTTAAAACTTTTCCTTCACTAATTTTTCGATGTTGCAAAGCCCACAAAGGAGTGGGCAAAGAAGACCTGGGACCCACAAGTGATCATTAATTAAAATAGAACCATAATGGTTAGAATTTTTGTAAAAACTTGGAACTCAATGTGCTAATAAAATTAAGAATCTAGAATGTCCAGGACCACATATTTAAGAGCAATTCCAACGAATCTTGTCCTTCGTGCAAAAGTTATGGATCCATCCAACAACACCATAATTATCAAGAACACTGGGCAACCAGTGCAGGAATTGCACGTTAGGGGACTGCATAGAGCGAATGCCACCACACTCATCGATCCTGAGCTGCGCACTTCCAATCAG